AGTCCCATATATAGTGTACAGTCCCATATAGTGTACAGTCCCATATAGTGTACAGTCCCATATAGTGTACAGCCCATATAGTGTACAGTCCCATATAGTGTACAGTCCCATATAGTGTACAGTCCCTTATAGTGTACAGTCCCATATAGTGTACAGTCCCATATAGTGTACAGTCCCATATAGTGTACAGCCCCTTATAGTGTACAGTCCCATATAGTGTACAGTCCCTTATAGTGTACAGTCCCATATAGTGTACAGTCCCATATAGTGTACAGTCCCATATAGTGTACAGTCCCATATAGTGTACAGTCCCATATAGTGTACAGTCCGTTATAGTGTACAGTCCCTTATAGTGTACAGTCCCTTATAGTGTACAGTCCCATATAGTGTACAGTCCGTTATAGTGTACAGTCCTTATAGTGTACAGTCCCTTATAGTGTACAGTCCCTTATAGTGTACAGTCCCATATAGTGTACAGTCCCATATAGTGTACAGTCCCTTATAGTGTACAGTCCCTTATAGTGTACAGCCCATATAGTGTACAGTCCCTTATAGTGTACAGTCCGTTATAGTGTACAGTCCCTTATATACTGTACTTATAGTGTACAGTCCCATATAGTGTACAGTCCCATATAGTGTACAGTCCCATATAGTGTACAGTCCCTTATAGTGTACAGTCCCATATAGTGTACAGTCCCATATAGTGTACAGTCCCATATAGTGTACAGTCCCATATAGTGTACAGTCCCATGTACAGTCCCTTATATAGTCCCTTATAGTGTACAGTCCCATATATAGTACAGTCCCTTATTATAGTGTACAGTCCCATATAGTGTACAGTCCCTTATAGTGTACCCATATAGTGTACAGTCCCATATAGTGTACAACCCATATAATTAATACAGTCCCATATAGCATGCACCCCTTATAGTGTGTCCCTTATACTGTACAGTCCCTTATACTAGTAAGTCATACATAGTGTAAAGAATCAATGTGAATCAGTGAATCCTTGTAGACAAACACAAGATTAGGATGTATCGGTGAACCCTTGTCATTATTCACTGTGGTTGGTAATCTCAACCCTATCATTAAGGATCATGTTTTATTTGAACTTGAGATGTTTTTGGACCTTGCTAGTCTGGGCTGTACCAGTGGTCCTGTTTGTCTTGGATGAACTCCATGATGATGATGATGACACTGACCTCCAGTTGAGCACTTCCTCCTAGGATTGCTGGTGGATCATGTTTGAATGTGTGATAATCTTGGCAATAATTATTGTAGCTTCAGGTTTTTCCTGCACAGGATAAATTTCCATTTTATCTTAAAAGATAAACAAATGTTGTTTTCAAGAAATGACTTTCACATCCAACAAAATGTTACATGGCATTCATGTTGCTGGACTGAATACAAGGAACTTTGGTTTGGTCTCTTCTTTCAGATCAAGTCATTTAATGGGTTTGTCCTCCAATTTCCCTGTCTGAAGCTCTTTGGTTTACCTTTAGTTTGTCCAGTGTAGAGGATGTCATTTACTGTTAGATGCTCCACACAGTAATTGGGGCAGTGGGGTAGCCTAGTGGTTAAAGTGTTCTATCATCACACTGAAGACCCGGGTTCGATTCCCCACATGGGTACAATATGTGAAGCCCATTTCTGGTGTCCCCCGCCGTGATATTGATGGAATATAGCTAAAAGCGGTGTAAAACCATACTCACTCACACCACAGTAATCAGCTTGTTTTTGGTTTTTAAATTGGATCACTGATTGTTTTTACAAATGTTACCTTTGGAGGGGGAAGGGAGAAACTAAAGTATCATTCACCACTTTTACTGCCAATATATGCTGAAAGATTTGCTTTTTGCTGCTCTTCAGTGGAATTAAATTGGTAAACCACTTCCTGGATGATGTCTGCTGGTAAAAATTAAAAATAAAGAAAGTGACATTACTCTGTGGTCAGATTCGGTAATCCAAAATGTTGATAGTCCAGATGATTTCAGTGAGAACACCATCATGTTGATAAGTGAACTTTCACTGTATTTTACGGTCAGTCTAAGTAAACTTAGGCTCAGTATATATTCGTTACACTGCTATACTGAGTCTAACAAAACCTAGTAGAACGTCGCGTCAGCTAACCTTTGAGCGACCTATGACCGTCCAATCAAACACGAGACGGCCGAACGGATTGAACCAATCAGACAACGACGACTTGATAGGGTTTGGCGGGACTTACAAAACGGTTTTGGATTTTCTCTTTCCTGGTTGCTGACACTGATCTATCAACAAACCAAAATCTGCATAAAACCCAGATATTTGACCTGCAGTATATACACTTAGGGGTTTCTAATGACATGGTTACTATTAGCTTATATTTCTGCATGATGACATCCTTGAATATTGACAAAAACGCTATTTTCAGCGACTGTTTACTCATTGCGTGTATCACTTGGAAGCGATTCTGCGGAAAATAGCATTCGGAATCGTTTGAGTTTTAGGTAAAGGCTCAAGCGGTATGTGCGAATGTTAACTTTCGCGAGTTGGTAAGCTGTGTTCTGATTGGTCAGTCGCCTTCTACTAGGTTTTGTTAGACTCAGTATAGCAGTGTAACAAATAATACTGAGCCTAAGTTTACTTAGACTGTTTTACGGTAGGGTTAGAGATATTTGGTAAACTGAAATGTACAAACATTTATTACTCTTCCTCAATGTTTATGTTTTGTTCAAACCTTATCCAGTTGCCTGTCCTGCCTTTCCTAACTCTCACTAGCAGCTAAATACAAATTTCTACCTTTTCAATTACCTCTGACAGATTATAATATTTTGAATTGTGTAGACTTTCACACATCTCAGGCTATTGGTATCATCAACAAAGCAGATTTTATTAGGAAAAGTTAGAAAAGAAAGTAAAGAAATAAATGGCATACTTTACCAGTTGACCCAACCACTGTTCTTTCTGTTGGTCTTTCTCCACTTTCTTTAATTCACAGTGGAGGAAATTCATCATGAAAATACAACTGATAGCATTGCACTAACTATTTCCATTCAAAACTTCAAACTTACCTCATCTGCAGGTTATTTTAATAACATTAACATAGTGAAATCTATTGTTAACACTCTCAAATGTGCCCAGATCTTTATATTGTACTCTTCATATATTATGTTGTAAACAATACTGAATGTATTAATCGTTGGCGCCATCTCTGTTAAATGACATGCATGAACTGTGAGGTATACAGGTTTATGCCTTTGTCAAATAATGGATGCCACATTTCTAAACAAGGTCAAAATATATTTTTAGAACTATGTTCATGGAGATTTGTGACTTTAGAGGCAGAGACGAGAAATTTATGTTAGGCCAGGCCAATTATATTTCTTGTTTTACGGATTTTTGTACTCAGAAAACCTAAAGGCAGGAGGGAAAAAAAAAAAAAAAAAAATCACCAATCAAAGTAATATTCCTACTAAATACTAAAGTATTTTACTTTTGGCAATTTATGAAGCGTATATGGGGCAAAAAAAAATCTAAAAAAAGTTCTTGTAAGTTTACATTTTTGGCCAATAAAAACATTAGCATTTTATTTCTTGAGCGGGGAATATTAATTTTTTCTTTTTTTTCTTATTCTTGAAAAAATACCACGGGCGGATCGGTAAAACAAGAAATAAAATTGGTCTGGCCTTAACTCTAAATGTGAATATCTTTAGCTGGCATATCTTTGGGGGAGCACAACCAAATAGTCAAATTTAATTTTTCAATTCCCCATATGTTGGTTTCCAAGAGAACGACCAATCCAAGACTGAACATAACAAATTTTCACAATGTTCTTTGCCAGTTTGTATTTCTTTGTCAAGATTTCGTTCTCGTATGATATTTATCATCCTCTAACTTATGTTTTGGCCAACACTCAGGAAGGATTTATATGATTTGGTTTTCTCAGACTTTATGACACAGTTTTGCCTTATTTACATGTATAATGTTTGAAAATATTAATCTACAAACATGACTATTGATAAATACCTAGCGCTACAAGGAGGAAACGGGTCCATTTATTTCAGATCTGAAATTACATGTTCAATCCCCGATTAAAGAAATATTCCAACATACTGAAACCCGAAACATCATTTTGTTTCTATATATTTTATCTTTGGAATAGTTATGAACAAATCTAAGAAGATAGGATTGTTTGTGCCTGAAAAGGCATAGCACATGTTTGTGAAGGCTTACAGCACATGGTATGTATGTTGTAAAGAGGACTCACATTGTACTGCTTGATCGTTCTTGAACAAACTAGGAACAGGAACAAGAACAAACTAGGGTACAGTCTTATAAATAGCAAAATAAAATCATTTTCAGTTTATTTGACGCTGTTTCTAGTTTACATGATTATGTTTGTATACCCTAGACTGATTAATGAAATTAACTATTCAATTACAATATTCTCAGTGTCCATGTTGGGGTCAGATCCATGGCCAAATAGCATCCCATATGTTCACCCAACATCTCCAAGCATCAGATTTTTGCCCCCATTTGGACACTCGGAATATCCTTATCTAAAGTTAAGTGGTAGATGAGATATATGTACTTAAGATCCAAGTGTATGAATGTACATACATGTAAATACACACACTTATATATTATTTTGTTAAGTTTGGGGGGCGGTGGGGTAGCCTAGTGGTTAAAGCGTTGGCTCGTCACGCCGAAGACCCGGGTTCGATTCCCCACATGGGCACAATGTGTGAAGCCCATTTCTGGTGTCCCCCGCCGTGTTATTGCTGGAATATTGCTAAAAGCGGCGTAAAACTAAAACTCAGCCAGTCAGTGTTAAGTTGTGTGAAATTGTGTGAAATTTGTGCATGTTAGGTGTGTGTTAAGTATTGTGTACTAACCCTCTCAGTGGTTGTGACATTGCTATTGCTTTTTTGTGTCAGTTTATTTTAATTATTGTTACTAATGACACAGTTGTGGATCCGTCTTTGACCAGGAGTTTATTGATCTGTTGACTTTTACAGATGGGTATGCCTTCTCACAGGAGGAGCATGGAGTCGTACCACAGGTAAGTGAGCTCAACATCACTATATCGTGGTTGGAAGCAATTGCCTTTATTCACTTTACAAGGATCCATCTATCAGACCCGAGAAGATCCGCGCCAGAACTGATCTTCAGTAACCCATGCTTGTCGTAAGAGGCGACTAACGGTATCGGATGGTCAGACTCGCTGACTTGGTTGACACATGTCAACAGTTCCCAATTGCGTATATCAGTGCTGATGCTGTTGATCACTTGATTGTTTGGTCTAGACTTGATTATTACCAGACCGCCATCATATAGCTGGAATATTACTTTAGCTTTCCAAAGAATAAACTTTTAGGAGCACAATAGAAAGTCAGATATATGTCTTGAATATGAGAGTTCACAGTTGTCTGGGGCAATGCATTTCTCTGTGTTCACAAGACATATCAGGACATCAGTGGTTCAAAATATGCCAAGCAGAGTTATGGCCCTTGGGCATGCCAGAAACCTATGAGTGTATCTTACTTTGTCACCGTACCCTTCTGACACGTGCAACGTTCCACATATATACAGCTGACACAGCAAGTGTTTGGGAAATACTGATCAAAGCTTTGTTAAAACTAAGCTTGGTGGAACTTATGAGGAAGTTATCTTGTACTCACAGTGGCGGACGGGTAGCCTAGTGGTTAAAGCGTTTACTCGTCAGGCTGAAGCCCGGTTTCAATTCCCCACATGGGTACAATGTGTAAAGCCCATGTCTGGTGTCCCCTGCTGTGATATTACTGGAATAGTGCTAAAAGCGACGTGAAACTAACCCCACTCACTCACTCTTTCACTCCAAATTAATTCCTATCACCATCAAGAGCCAGTAGATCAGCCATCACCCAATCAAACAAAGGATGAATGTTTTTTAACCAATTAGATGGCAGCATTCAGTGACTAAAGAGGCACAGAAAACAGGAAAGATGTCACAACATAGTGTGAAGTATCGGACATCATAACACACTGTCTAAATGTGAACAATTCTCAGATTATCTATTGAAAGAAACTTTCAAAGAGTGAGAACCTTAGATGTAAGCATAAGCTGAGATGGATTTGATTGTAATCAGTAACGTCTGTGTTTCAGGCTGACTACATCCGGGCGTACGACACCACGAAAGAGAAGCCAGAAGGATTGTAGTAACCCCACAAGCAAAGGGAGACAACTCTTGTCCTTGGATCTCAGTGTGACTTTTGTGCCATTGTTCAGCATGGTTGCTCTCGTGGACATCCTCATCAGATCATCAGACAATCCTATAATCCACACTTCTAATTGGATTCTATCACCGAATTGCTTTGTTTTTCAAATAGTAGCTCGGAATACTCGGAGTATGTGTTCAAGCGGTTAATGTACCTATAGAAGTGTTTGCTATGAAAGATTCACAATCATGTAGCAAATCTCAACTCCACTAATCCTAGTATTATTCAAGGCGATTGTTTTGTTTTTCAGAATATCAGTCAGTATAACTTTACTCAGAAAACATTTTTGACATTAATTAGAATAGAAATAATCTTCCAAATTTGTTAGTTTTTGTCGGTATTGAACTTCCCCTTCTTCCACAAACTGTAAAGTGTCTTGTGTGTATTTGACCTCTACCCATTTTGCCTATTGACCTTGACCCCTCCAAATGTATGAACTTTAACCTTGACCCACCAGAGAAAGGAAACATAATGTATTTGCTGGCTTGCACTCATAAAGGAAATTTCTAACTTTCTAAGATTTATTTTTTCAAAGATTATCTGTTATGTGTATATAGTGTAGACTGAGAAACTGTACATTTATCTGTGTTATAATCATGTCTGTGCATATTATCGTCACATGTGGTCGTGTCAACGTTTTCATTGTCCTGCGTTCAGTATTAATCTGTATTATGATGCATTATTCTGCATTATTCTGCATGTCTTGCAATGTTGATGGGTGGTGGAGTAGCTTACTTGTGAAAACGTTCGCTCGTCACAACGCAACTAAGGTTGTTTTTTTCACATAACTACAATGTGTAAATTCATTCCTGTCATTTTGCTGAAAATTGCTTAAAGTTGCATGAAACATCACTCACCAACTTATGATATTAATATTCCAGAAGCGATCACATTACACTTTTTTAATAGTGCTCTTAGATCACTTTTGCAAAGCATTACTGAGAATGTTCAGGACTTTCGTGAATCCTTTGACTGGTTCCATGTCGCTGGGTTTTTTTCAGGACCCTGAATTTCTTTATCACAATATCATTTTAGATTTTTATAATATTTTTGAATGATCACAGTCAATGAGACCATGTCCTCATATTGATGTACGTTGCTTTTTTTCACCATCATCTGTTGAAAGGTCAAAGGTCAAGGGTCAGTAGATGTGATTTTATTGCACATAATATAATCAGTTGATGCCGAGACAGGAATTATTAGCAGCGGTGTGTCAACATTCACTCATTCCAAAAATATGTCAACCATTACCAAGGTCAAGGTCACTGCACTGATCGTGGTCACTGCGCAGAACGGTGTTGACATACTTGAGGAAGCACTGTATGTCTGATGCATTGTCTACTACTGTTAAGAATGATAATCAATACTAATGGTGATAGGTCAGCGTCAGTTTTGCCTTTTATGAAAAAGTTGTTGATTTATCAAAGAATTGAAATTCAAGACTCTGTGATACAAACATTGTTAGTACAATCGCACTTCAAAAGAAGTGAAGAAAAAATTATGATAATGATGGATCAGGAAAAGTGATGTTCTAAGAAAATATTTGAGACAAATATCTCAATGATATTAAAATTAATACCGATAGCTTACACAATCAGCAAGGATGTACCATTGATCTCCCCACCCAGTGACTGTTTTCACTGCTGGAGTCGACATTCGTATGCATGTTTGTGTTATGGTTGTTCTGTTGTTGTGATGTCAGGCCGACAAAATGATACCTTGTTTCTCACCACTTGTGCATGGGTGGGTTCATTGTTCTAATTTCATAATAAGGTTTGTGATTCTGTGAGGAGTAAATTGTGCTAAAAAGATACGGAAGAATATATATGGTCTTTTTGTCGCAGCTATATATTTTATATAAAATTATTAAAAAATACAGTAAATTGGAAAATAAAATGTTCCATATGCTCACTGGACTTTTATAGTTTAGCTTACATGGATCCAAACCATTTTTTTGTTAATAATTAAATGATGTATACATCTAAACAAAACATACATAAGATTATTTCATTGGGTTTGAGAAACAAGAATTATACATGTATTTGAATTGGCCTAATGTAGATCTCTTTGTATTCACCCTAGTTCCCTTTGCTCACATAGTGGTAGATCACATGCTTTTGTTGTGGTCAGGGGCGATGTGTAACCTGTTTGAAGTTGGCACCTCTGTGGTGTCCGTGGTGATTCCTGTAGAACAGCATTGTCGATGTTAGCTCACTTGAAGTAGATTTGTTTGTTTGCTCACCATGTTTTTGTATTTTATGATTTATTATGATTTAGCTGTGACGTTGTGTCTTTATCACATCTCACAGACATTGATTTGCTCTTACAGGCTGTGATACACCACCACGGTCAGCGCACAGGTATGCTGCAATGTGATTGGTTGAAAGTTCTTGTAGTTAAGTTCCTTCTAGAATCTCCACATAATGCAAGAGGGTTGTCATATTGTAATCAGAGGGGTGTAAGAGGAACGTGGGGTAGCAGCGTGGTTCAAGTGTTCACTGTTGAAGTCCTGGTTCGACTCCACCATGGGTTCAGTGTACGAAGTCTGGTTCCCTGCCAGTGTCAGATGAAAAAGATGGAATTATTATAATAGCATGAAATAAAACTCATGAATTGTTTTAAGTGAAATATTTTATCCATTTGTTTTTACACCATTTTGGAAAGCACATGTGTGCTAGTATTAAGAAATACTGTTCAAAAGAAGTTAAGGACTGCCTCATTCGATTCAAATTAGAGATAAGGATCCCATTGCCCAAAGCTTTTTAAGCGTCAAGGTGATCGTAGCGCCCAAATTAAACATTTAACAAGGTTTTTAGTTATAATACTAATATTTCTTTGTGCAGCGAGTCCCAGACATTTCTCACAGGGAGAGATCAGAGGAAATAGGGCAGGTCACCACATATTTTCACTGTCTCCTGGGAAGGGGCTTAATAATATACTTATTTGTAGGGGCATATAAAAATGGACATTTTATTGCTCAATGAGGAGCGTGTTTGCATTTTGTCATTTTGTGAGGGTCAGGAATACACTACAAGGACAAGCGTGTCTTTATGTTCAGAGAAGAATTAGTCAGTCCTTAACTTCTGTTTTAGCATATTTCTTTGTATTGTACAGCTGGTATTGTTTGAGCTTAGGATGGGGAGTATGGACCTGCATTGCTCGTCTGGTCAGAGATCAAGTTTTGATCTGAATCAGAATGTTGTATAGCATTGCAAATTGTTCATCTTTTTTCAAATTGAAAAACTGGTATTCAAGGGACTTTTTCAATCATGTGTCAGCATAGTTGTGTGTGTGAGATGACCGAGTTGTCAGGTTCATGTGTATAACTCACTTTTGTTGTTTTCTTTTCCGTTTTAAATTTTAATTCAGGAGATTCTTGGCAAAGCAGATTAGTATGTTATATCTTTTCTGCTCTGTAAAATGCAACACGGTTAATCTTTGTATGAAAGATCAAGCATAGAATATTTATTTCCAGAATAACTCCATTTTAGCTTCAAGAGGATATTGAAATGTGTAAATGACCAACTTGGATGGTGCTCCTGGTATATGACTTTATGATGCGTATTTTAGATAAAATGACAGATTGTGTAAGGATGCTTATAATTATTGAGACTGATGATGATGAAATGTGCTGTAGCGGGTGATGTGGCCACTGATGGGTGTAGTCAGTAGGACACAAAGTATACTATAAAAATACGTCTCTGCTGCCGCTGGATATCACGTGTATTTAGTTTTACTGATAATAATGTTTGGGAAATACAGAAACAGCACAATTACCAATTGTCAAATGATAAAAAATATAATGGACATAGAAATAAATCGACTGTTTTGATAGTTACCTGACGCTACACTGAAGAAGAATCAGGAAGGTCATATTGGGGAGCAGTTCAAACGTTTGATGTGATGTAAATAAATTTTCAGTTTATATTCTGCTTTCAGATATTACATCTCACTCGTGTACAGATGCGATAAGAACTGTACATTTTTAGACTGAACTGTGAAAACCCTGAAAATATTTTTGTCTGTATGGAAAACTAGATTTCATAACCCTGAAACTTAAGAAATGGATTTTTATATTCAACATCCAGCTTTTGATCTGCCCCATTTCTTGTGGCTCAGTGATATCCCATAATGCCTCACAAGGAAACAGAAAGTACAGTACTTGATAAATAACAGAAACGGGTTATCCCTTCATATGGTTGAGATGCATATTCTGGATTCATAGAGGGAAGCAAGCTTGAATCATTCCATCACTTACCGAAGATGTGCAACAAGGATTTAGCATTCATTGTTTTCCTGAGTACCAGGCAAACATGATTGCATAATTGACACCCCTCTAGGTGATTCAGAAGTGTGTTAACATTTTCAGTAAATATTTGACATATGTTGCTTAGCCGACCATTTGTTGGACATTTTTCCTGCCAATTATGTGGGGCCAAATGTTATGCAGTCCAGAAGATCTTCTTCAGCTTCAGAATGGAACGAATTTGTCATTGGATGATTGTAACAGTAATCAGAGACCATATACTGATATTTGTTGATGCAGGTATATGATAATTATTCAGCATTTTGTCAGATAAGATTGTCTTGTGTAAGCCCAAACTAAGGTGATGTTTTAAAATGGACTGCTGGTGAAGTACAGAAATAACAGGAATTGAAATTCCCAACAGGAAGACTGTTAATATGGCACTGTGGATTTGAAAGTTAAACTTCTAACAGGAAAAGGTTTGAGTAGACTACTCAAGTCAATAGGTTGTGACCCATTACCTTTTGATATTAAGTCTATCTGTAAGCCAAGGAAATTAATTCACCACAGTCTGTTTCCACAAAGCTATCTTATCGCTGAGGTGATTGAGTGAGTGAGTGTAGTTTTATGCCGTGTTTAGCAATATTCCAGCAATATCACAGCAGGTGACACCCGAAATGGGCTTTACACATTGTACCCATGTAACCCTAGGTTAAGACTGCTTTGTGAAACCAGTCCCTTGTGTTATGCTTGACTTCCTTGGTAGAGCATAGGCCACAGACTATCGATTGTGTTAACTTATGCAATAAGATATTATCCTTGAACTTTATCTGTACGGTGTAGCAGTGATTCTGATGTCAATATCATGGTATCTATGGTATCTATAGCAACTAAATACTAGACTGGTGCACTGTATTGTATGCATGTAGTTCAGCCTGTGTGCAATCAAAGGGCAACATACTATTCCCCCCCGAGATGTTATACTAGATTGTGGATGTCTCTTGTAATCATGGACTTGTGTCGCTGTTAAGTAAAGAATGATGACATGTATGTTACAGACCTGGGGGCCCCGTTCCTCAAGGCAATGGTAGCCGTAAGATGATCGTAACTCCCATACTTTAACATAGACTTACGACAGTCGTAGCGCTACACATGGTGCGCATCTCATTGTAATTTCAAGCAACAACAAAGGCCATGTATGTTTACATCTTTTCATTTTGCATGACTTGAAATATTATTAAAATTGTTATTGATAACAGCTTCAGACAAGTGTTTTACCAACCAGATCAATGTTTACTGGTGTTTCTGAATTCTCACCTGTAGCTGGCAATTTACGAAACTTTATGTAAAATGTCATTTTCATCATCACAGGTGTATAAAATGCTCATTAACATAACTTAATTCAAATCCACATTTGGTAGTTAATTAAAATGATATATAATTCAAATCCACATTTGGTAGTTAATTAAAATGATATTTAATTCAAATCCACATTTTGTAGTTAATTAAAATGATATATAATTCAAATCCACATTTGCGTAGTTAATCAAAATAATTTATCAGTTCAAATTGTTTTAACAGTCTTATCTTCAAGAGTTCAAATGTTACTGAACATTTTCTTTCCATTGCATTTTTGTGAACATCGTCTCTATGAATTGGCAACATAATGAATGATTGAACTGGAGGATCTTCTGAAATATGTGCCTCAGCAATGAATAAGTTGTTTCATTGAAACTGTACTAACAATTCATCATGTTTACTAATATTAAACTCCACTTGCAATGAAATCTCATACATGTAATAATGATCACTAACAACTATTTTAAGTACTTTTTACTAACCTCTGCACATTTGGTCACCTGGTTTCAATGATCACTTTTGTTATGCACTTTGTAACATGAATATGTATTCCAAGTACCCATAAACTGTCATTAATTTAAATATTTATCACATAGATAGAAATTTTAAAGTGTGATGTCTGTTGGACATATGAATACAGTACAGTTGCTAGGAAAGTAGGTTATCATTATTCAAACTAGGTTGATAGGTACAAGGGTGTTTGTTTTGCATGGAGTCTGTGAGATTTAATAATGAGTTACAAATTGAGCATGTCAGGGTTAACTTACTTGCATTTCTCGCATTTTCCTTAGAAAGTGATAAAAACTTAACAGCAGCATTGTTTTGTTGCAGTATCAGGAACAGTTATTTTAAACATATTACTCAATTTTTATAGGGATATGTCTTTATTGTTTCTTGAATCACAAGTATCATTTCTCTTAACATGTTGATGTAATAGGTTCGAGTATTTCATATCCCTATCGGAAGTTGAAAAGTATGGGGGAGAGGTTATTGTCGTGTGGCTGTAACCTATCATGTAATACAGACAGTAACTATAGAAAACTAGACATTTCCGGTTGTTGAACATGGAGATCGAAAACTTTGCCTGATGTTCTTCCACATACCTCCATTCACTGTGTATCTTAATTGCTTGATTACATTAGCGACAGCAGCATGTGAGTTGTTGAAAACTTCTCTACAGCACCTATTGAGTAATGGTTATTTGTTTCTATAATCTGATCTTCATGACTGTAAACAATTTGTAGAATACCAACCATTTGAAACAGGTCTTGTGTAGATGGGTAAAAATACAAGTCTTCAATCTCTTTGTTCAGATACTTAAATGTATGAGGTTTTTAGTAACTGGAGAAAATATAAGAAAAGTTTCCTATGTACCAGGTTTTCTTTCATTTCTGCTATAATATTGAGTTTTGTACAGAAATGTTTTAGTAATTATTACCTTGATCTGATATATTCCTGTGAGCTTTGTAAATTGCGTATTTATCTGAGCTGTGCCTACCCCATTGTATTGTTAAGTACAATAAACTATGTCTGTCGTACTGAGTTATCATCTTGAGTGTTTTTCTTATTACAATTGTAGTGAATCCTTCAAATTGGGTTTGTTGAAACTGTAGACATTATAGATTCCTAATAAAGTCAGTGCCTGTTTGACGTCTGCCTGTACATAATGTAATCTGGACCAGGGAATCCAGTGATTGATGTTATGAGCACCTAGCAACATCAAGCAAAGGCTGTGAGGTGAGGTGAAATTGGGTTTAACGTCGTGCTCAAGAAATATTTCGCTCATGACCATGTGCATGCGTGTTTATGTCTATGTGCGGCTGCTTGTACTAGCCCAGACTTAAGCTGGTGTTATAGTGCTAGCCCACTGAGATACCATGTCGCAGTGAAGCATGAATACCCCTCACACATATTATACTGACTCCGAGCCGACCAGTCCTTGTTGTACCCATTAATGCCGAGCGCCAGGCAGGGACCAACAAGTACCATATTTTAACATCTTTTGGTATGACACGGTCGGGGATCGAACCTGCGACCTTCCGCTCTCCTGGCGGATGCTCTTACCACTACACCATGGAGAGCAAAGGCTGCGCTGGGAACCATTTCTAAACCTGAATCCCACTGCAAGACCAGCACAGGGGATCCATTCTAGCCCTGAATCTCTAAATACGACCAGCATAGATTGCTGGGGACCTATTTAAACACAGAATCCCCATATTACGACCAGAACACCTGAGGACCAATTTTAACCTGGAATTCTCAATAAGACCAGCTGGACCACCTTTAGTTTCTGGGGATGTTTCTGGATTTCCTGTGGTTGACCAGCACAGGTTCCTCTGAATTATTCAAACCCAGAATCTGTCGGGACAAAACCAGCAGTTTGCTTGGGACGTATTTCATCTAAATACACACAATAGTACCACCAGCATTACGCATAGTTAGGTCATAGTAAACAGTGAACTGTTTAATGATAAAGTTTCACTGATTTAAAGAAATGAATGATTCATGTCTTATGGCTGTAAGTAATGAATGAGTGAGTTTAGTTTTACACCGCTTTAAGCAATGTTCAAGCAATATCATGGCGGGGTACACCAGAAATGGGTTTTACACACTGCACCCATGTGGAGAATCCAATCCAGGTCTTGGCCTGAAGAGCGAACGCTTTAACCACTAGGCTACCCTGTCCTATTTCAGTGCCATCTAAATGTTGAATGAAATGCTAAGTCCAATCTGTTTGTGATAATACAAACAGTGCATGGTAGTTCACCTAAACATGGAGCTAACAGTAATAATATACTTCAGATAACCAAATATTTTCTGCAGGATTACTGAAGACTAAAGTTATATAGTGAATTACGGCCATTTGAAGGAAGGTAAGCTTCTGCAATTTCAGGGTTTACAGGGCTAGTACAAACAGGCAACAAGGTCAAAATCTGATCATCAAAAAAAAGAACTAAATATGTACCTAATGTCAGTGACTATATACTGCCTTAATTAGCTTTTGCAATATATCTGGTGAGGCATCCATTGCCAAGCAGTATCACCACCAATCCACTCAGAGACTGACAACAGTCTGGACCTGTCAACCAGTGGCTTACAGCATGACCACCAATCCACTCCATGATGACAACAGTCTGGACCTGTCAACCAGTGGCTTACAGCATGACCACCAATCCTCTCCATGATGACAACAGTCTGGACCTGTCAACCAGTGGCCTACAGCATGACCACCAATCCACTCCATGATGACAACAGTCTGGACCTGTCAACCAGTGGCTTACAGCATGACCACCAATCCACTCCATGATGACATCAGTCTGGACCTGTCAACCAGTGGCTTACAGCATGACCACCAATCCACTCCATGATGACAACAGTCTGGACCTGTCAACCAGTGGCTTACAGCATGACCACCAATCTCCTCCATGACAACAGTCTGGACCTGTCAATCAGTGGCTTACAGCATGACCACCAATCCACTCCATGATGACATCAGTCTGGACCTGTCAACCAGTGGCTTACAGCATGACCACCAATCCACTCCATGACATCAGTCTGGACCTGTCAACCAGTGGCTGACAGCATGACCACCAAACCACTCCATGATGACAGTCTGGACCTGTCAACCAGTGGCTTACAGCATGACCACCAATCGACTCCAAGACATCAGTCTGGACCTGTCAATCAGTGGCCTACAGCATGACCATGACCACCAATCCACTCCATGACAACAGTCTGGACCTGTCAACCAGTGGCTGACAGCATGACCACCAATCCGACTCCATGATTACAACAGTCTGGACCTGTCAACCAGTGGCTTACAGCATGACCACCAATCGACTCCTGACGAAACAGTCTGGACCTGTCAACAGCATGCACCTCGAATGTCATGACCACCGATGACAACAGTCTGGACCTGTCAATCAGTGGCTGACAGCATGACCACCAATCCACTCCATGATGACATCAGTCTGGTCAATCACCTGTCAACCAGTGGCTTACAGCATGACCACCAATCCACTCCATGATGACAAGCAGTCTGGACCTGTCAACCAGTGGCTTGACAGCATGACCACCAATCCACTCCATGATGACAACAGTCTGAGACCTGTCAACCAGTGGCTTTACATGCATGACCACCAATCATGACTCCATGATGACAACAGTCTGGACCTGTCAACCAGTGGCTTACAGCATGACCACCAATCCACCTGACCTGTCAACCAGTGATGACCAAATCCTCCAGACTGCGCTGACCAATCAACTCCATGATGACAACAGTCTGATGACCTGTCAACCAGTGGCTGACAGCATGACCACCAATCCACTCCATGATGACATCAGTCTGGACCTGTCAACCAGTGGCTTACAGCAGTCTGACCTGTCAACCAGTGGCTTACAATCCACTCCATGATGACAGTCAGTCTGGACCTGTCATCCACTCCATGATGACAGTGGCTTACAGCATGACCACCAATCCACTCCATGATGACATCAGTCTGGACCTGTCAACCAGTGGCTTACAGCATGAACACCAATCAACTATGACTGACAATAGTCCATACAGCATGATGATCAATTGCTCTATGACAAAGTACATATATAACAGAAGAGTTATTTTGCTCAAAATGTTTATTATTTTTATTCCTACGGTTACAAAAGATGCAAGTGCTACTCTGACACATTTGTACAGACCTATTGTGACAAGCTTCAGGGAACACATCCTACGAGAACATCGTGAAAGTAGCACTGTTGAGTAACACTGTAGGCAAGTTGACATTGAACATCTAGACGTGTTCCCAAATATGGAAACTTCAACAGGATGGCAACTTTATATTAATTTAAAATGATAACAATGACACAGAAACGATGATTTAATCATTGACTCAAATCGGTAAGATGAGAACAGTGGCTGTGATTCCAACTTATGGTTCGGTTTACCGAATGAGAAATGCTGATGCATGTTTGATGCACGTCCAGTATTAGGTTCATGAGTGACAATTTCTGTCGATATCAGCTGCATTAATAAATGCACTCCCAACTACATGTCTTTAATTTTGTAACTCCATCTTGTACCATAAATATCACCAACATGAGCAAATAATAAAACTGTTGTCTCAACAACTTTTAAAATGTATCAATCATGGCCAATTAGTTAGCACTCCTTGTTCGATTATAGCACATATTTTCACATGCCACTTAGAGCAAGTATATTTTAAACACCATAAACCTTGCTTTTTGAAGCAATTTACAAAACATACTGAAATGCTATCTACATATACATATTTACTATGTAATTACTCCAATTGCAGAACTTAAAACACCAAAATGTTTTGCAGCAGACAGCTATAAAATTCTTTTGATTTTAAACACCAACCATTTGTTAAACCTTAAAATTTCTTCATCAGTAAAAGTCAACGGAGGTGTCTAAGACTTATGTCTCAATTTTCTTGGAAAATAAAGACGCGAGTTCCTCCTTGTGGGCCATCAATTCCAGCAGCAAAACGTTCATGGCAAAAATGGGGCTGGTAAAACTGTAAACAAGACGATGATGGATAAAAAGGTCACCGATTGGTCAATGAGATGATCACGACATGATGAGTAATGTCCAACATGAGTTCTCAATCCTCGTCTTCATCATCATCCTCTTCCTCTTCTTCCTCCTCCTCCTCCTCTTCTTCCTCCTCCTCCTCTACCTCCTCCACAGCAGGCTTTGGCTTCTTTGCCGGGGATGCACCAGGTTTATCTTTACTCCTGTAGGCAGTGATTTCCTGAAAACAAACAATATCTGTACAGAACATCTATCATCAGGAATTGGTAGGGGTCCACGTCGGGCAAAGATACCAAGATTGAGGCACATCATTGATTACTTGGGTAAAAAATTACGAAGAAACAATAAGCGTATTTAAGACTATACAATTATTGTTTGTGTGAATATTTTCATTTTCGGAACAATTTGCAGCAAAGACTTGTTTTAATGAACATTAAACCTTGAAGTTAACATCAGCATGATATCTTTTAAACACAAACAGTACCACTGTAGGTCTGCTAAAAGTCAATTAAAAATATAATGTCAGCAAAGACATTTTGGACTATAGTTAAAGTGCAATGGTAAAATAGGGAAATGAATACAATGTGTGAATCCGCCAAAAATCAATCCCACAGCTAACCACTGACTCATGTACCAGCTTTTGTTCAATTTTCGGAAAAATGACAGTTATGACTAAATGTAGTTTTTTTTGGCAATATGGTAACCATGGTAACCACACTTAGGCGATAATTAATTGGTTCCACATGCAACAATGCCTATAGCAAGGTCAATAACTGTTTGTTATTGTAAGTGATATTTTTAACATACATTCTACATATTTCACTATGCCTACCCAGTAAAGATGCAGTGAGTGAGTATAGTTTTACACCACTTTTAGCAATATTCCAGCAATATCATGACTGGGGATACCAGAAATGGGCTTCACACATTGTACCCATGTGAGGAATGGAACCCGGGTCTTCAGTGTGATGGGCCAACGCTGTAACCACTAGTAAAGCAGGAAGATGCATTGGTGTTTCGCTCATAAATTTTTGTTCGTTGATGTTGTGAAATCAAACCCTCGCAAGAAACTGTCCAAACTGCCATCCCTACCCCATCATTTTTAAGCACATTGAGAGTTAATATCCACGGAAAGACATACTTTGGAAATCTTAAGGTTGGTATTCTATAACTGAAAATAGACCAGATTGTCCAAGATTGATAACTTACAACTTCATATCGTTCTTTGTCCTTCTTTGCCATTTTCTCATATTTGCCCTTATCTTTGCAAACCTCCCATCGCTTCCCTAATGCTTTGGCAACCGGACACAGACAGCCCAGGTTGGTCTTCCTTGACATGGGGTCTTTCCTCTCCACAGAAGAAAAAGAAAGCAGACCTGAAAACACAAAGCTGACATATAATTAAATGTCAAACAAGCATTCCTACTTTTACTAGCTTGTCCAATTAAACAAAATAAATCTGCCCCTTTTGTTTTGCATTTCTCACAAGCGTTATAACAAAAGACACAAAGTGCAGCCGGTTAACCTTTTATAGTAGTCTGAATAGTTACAGCAAGCGTGAATTCTATCATATTCAAAAAGTAAGAATCAATGACAAATCATGGAACTTAATTCCTTAACTTCAAACCAATTCTCTTGCACATTACCATTTATCTCCAACACTGGAAAACTATAAATTTACATTACATTTTACATTTTATTTCAAGATAAGTGATTGAGTGAGATGGATTTAACGCCATATTTAGCAATATTCCAGCAATATCATGGTGGGGACACCAGAAATGGGCTTCACACACTGTCCCCATGTGGGGAATCGAACTCTGGTTTTCAATGTCACGAGCAGTGCTTTAACCACTAGACTACCCCATTTTTAAGATTAGAAAACTTAATTTGTTTGGCTAAAGCAAACCATTTACAGTCATTTCCCACTCTGCTAAGAAAGCAACTTTCCATTACACTGGTGATATTGCAACCATATTCAAGAACAGGTTTATTATTACCAACCCAAAATGGTCAAGTACCACATTCTAGGTGGTGACAGTAAGTAATACAAACCAATCTTAAAAATAAAGAAACAAAACAAAAATTAAATAAAACAAAACAAAACAGCAAAACAGAAAGAAAATCAAAGAATTCCATTAAGACTGACTCAGCCACTGTGAGGGGACAGTAATTTCTATAACATTGCAAATTGAATAGACTATGTAATATTCTTACAGTGCTCTCTTGGGGGCATTGGGGTCCTTGGACTTCCTCTTCTTTTTCGTCTTCTCTCCCTTTGGGGGTTGGTAGGTTTTCATTTCATTCTCATAGCGGGTCTTATCCTTATCAGCCATCGACTCAAACCTTTTCTTGTCACTAGGTTCCATTTTCTGAAAAACAATGACATTTTTGTTTAAGTCATGCATAAGTAGATTGGGTTTTTCATAACTTACTAGGATTTATAAATCGTTCCCAAGTCATAATTAACGTCTTTATAGAGTGAAAAAAAAGAAAGAAGAAAAACTTCCGGTAAAGATTTATAAAGCTAATAATATTTAGTCGGTACCATGAAAACATTCAGAATGTTTAGAAAAAGGTAATCACCTTCCATTTCTCAGCACACTTCTTGGTAAACTCAGTGAACACAACAGACTCGCCAGGATGCTTCTTCTTGTGCTCTTCTCGGCATGTCTGCACGAAGAATGCATACGAGGACATCCGTCCACGAGGCTTATTGGAATCCTTGCGACCCATTATTATTGAAGCAGCAGTTCACAATTCTGGAAAACACCAATAGCATAAAAAAATATTAAGTAATTCCATTTTGCTGGAAATATACAACACATTTTATAAAGTGGCCAAATGCATCAATGTCTACATTTCTCAGTACAATACAGATTCTAGTTCATTTGGGGATTTGAGTCGCAATACAGGATTTGACCATCAGCACATTTTTTTGTGGATTAATCAAGAATCCGTGGTAAAATAATTAATTACAACAAAATATTTCAGTCAGTTATTACTGTCAAATTCAAATGCTGACAATGTCAAAAGCACTGACAAATATCTATGGTGACTATGAGATGAGCTTAATATCATATTTGAGCAAGTATGGTATTCCATTGTCTTTTTGCCACACTCAGCTAATCACAACATTACTTTAATATTTGCAACTGTCTGCATTATCTATCTGAAAGAAACTCAGTGTGTGGAGCACCTTTAGAATACAGCACCACCACGTCTCGTGAGGACGATCTCTGCCGTAGGTCACGTGTCATTAAGACAAGCAACCAGTTTGTGAGAACCCGTCGGATGCGAACCTGCGACCTTCGGATTTGTTAGCTCGACAGCTAACCGACTGACCTACGTCCACACTGTTGCACAATGTGCAAATTTATCGAGTCATTCCTGTGACGTCACGGAAATGAACGGAAAGAGTCGAATAGGTCACGGACAATTACGAAGGTTACGGGTAGGTTTGGTGTCGTGTGATTTTAATCTACGGACAATTGCCGAATGAATCTGATGCCATTTGGCACACTTGTCCCATTCTGTAATCTGCAAGATAACGTGTGGCGTGGAATGAGCTGATATGCCTCAAATTGAAAAGTGTTGTAGACGTCAGGTGATTTTGTGACAGAAAAGTGATGTAGGGAACACTGTAAGGATAATGTGGATTGCACTAAGGAACGGTGAGACATGAGCATGTGTAGTGACGGCACGAGGGTGAGTTAGCCTTCGAATCATTACTGAACAAAATTTATGTTGCATGTCAAAGAGGCTTGAGTGCAAATTCCAGGCCAATTTCCATTAGTCAAAAATTTCTACAGTGCACTTTCGACGTTTTTGGTTTCCCGTTTTGTGTGAAAAAAAGTATTAAAATGTAAAAAGGAAAAACAACAAATCGTACTCATGTATTACACCGGACCAACTATGTTGGATTAGGTCCCTAACCCCTTGAAATAATCCTAATAAATAGAATGCATTGACCGAACCGGCACAAACATAACGGACGTGTCCAGTGTCATGCATTTTTACCACTTCGAAAAATAAAATACTAATAAATACGTTTCTATGTAATGACGCAAATTACTGAATGAAAAAAAATATATGCATGTATGTCAGTTCACATTGGTAAATCATTTGGACTTAATAAATACTTAGAAACCAAAATATAAAATATATTTACATAATTTAAATAATTACACTGACCAAAATTGCGAATAATCGAATATATATAATATAGACCGGTGTAAGGCATTCTCGCTAAATTTAAAAAAATACAAAATTCAATAATACACAAAACATAACACCTCAGCACCCCGTAATACAAATAAATATGAGCGTATTAGTGAAAAAAGAAAAATATTTCAAACTGGTGCTTGCAAAAAATTGGCGATCCGCCGGTATATAACTACTGGAAACACTCAACACCGTTGGGCTTATGCAATGACATAGCTTGTAGAGATGAAACACCAGTGAGCGGAGCTTATACGCACTCTAGACAACCGTGTTGCCATGCAGGCGTCATAGGGCATTGTTTCGAGAACGTGTTTTCGAACAAAATCACATTACATTACGTTACAAGGGTATTATGACATATTTTTAAAGTTTGTGGTGCTGTATTCTAAAGGTAGGCCTAGTGTGTCAATATCACTAAATGCTCTACTGGGTATTATGATATATCACTTCTACATGGAGACATAAGTCACTCTGAAAATAAATAAGTTTTCTTACCAAAAGTAGCATAATTTTGTTGATCAAAATTGGTTGAAAATCAGCCCCTCAAAACTAACTAAGTCACATGAAACGACCCATAACTGACAAATACATATTTTCAATATCAATTTTAAAATAAATAAAGACAAACAATTTAATTTTTGAACAGATTAAGGTGTGAGAAAAAAGGGATTAATTTCATTTAACCTAATTTTAAATATTTGGGTGATTATTTCATGAAAAACACATTCAATATGAATATTCATCATTCTTTGTATGCAACATCAATATACATAATTATGACCAGTGCTGACATTATGACATATTAAGTTATGTAATCTGAAAACAGTCAACAAAGTCTGCTAATACATTCATGTAACGCAGACTAAAGCTCAAATATATTCAAGAGATTTTTTTTAATGTAACTCAATACACATTTTTATTAAGTCAGGGAAGATTTTCATAAACAACCAGGACCAAAGAAAAATACAAAAATATAGCCTTTAATGTCAGGTTACTGTTGTTCTTCCAAATATTCAAGAGTAACTTCAATGACAAATGACACCAGTAAGTGCATACATAAAGTTTATGACAAAAGACGAAATGACAGCTGCAAAAACATTTATGCATTTATGTAGGTCAAATGACGACTAAATCTTCTCTTATTTTATACAGAAATTTCATTATCATAATTTAAAACCAACAGAATATGTCGAGAAACTAGCTGGCAAAATCTCCATAACAGCTATACTACTGTACATTGTGAATGTGGCATTAGTCCTATGGCGCGTTTAGCATAGGCTGTCTTTCTGTCAGACATTGGGCCCTTCTTGTTCAAAACCGCCATTTCTTTTGTAACTAGATCAGACCGCCTCTGCAGACAAAGAGACTAGTCGATTTTGATCTACAAAATCGAAAAATTACAAATCCTTGCAAGTTTAAGTCATTTGGGGTATGATAACTCGCCATCGCCGCTACCTTCTATACTCTATCATTCCCCATACTAAACGAATGGCAATAGCCAAATCCTATGTTAGAGCAAAAATCCGTCATGGCCGCTCGTCCAACCTCAAACAACGACCCCAAAACTCACCTCTCCAATGTCAAATTCCATTCCCATGAATGAAAGTACCTTTTAAAATTATCCCAGGGTGATCTCGGTTAGGAAAATGTTCCTGACATTAGTGTTCTCGGAAGTTTAAACTTCATCATCGTTCCTACTATGCTAGGCTATATGTTATATACAGTGAGTATTACTAGAGCAAACGGCTTCACTATGTTCAGGTCTTGTTGAACGATCGCCTATATGGCCGCTATATCGCTACGTAATGACAAAGGGCTCGTCTCGAAATCGAGCTCAACCTCTGTTAAAACACGACGCACAACTACCAAAATTTACCAAATTACAGATAAATGATGTGAGATCACATCCATATCGTTAGATCGTAATGCGACGTTGATTTTAACTCCGAAATTCTTTAATTTGTCAACCCCTTCCCCGCCTATAGCCACAGCATTGCCAGGCAGACATGGCGCTCATATGCAATCTATATAGGGCATGGAGGCAAGCTCTCAAAAATACGAATAGCATCTATACAAACCTGATAACATGTCAGAAACAATCCTGCATCCTATAGAAAACATATTAATCTAATGCATAAATAACTTTTTCCAAATAAAATGTAAAAAGGAAATAAGTTTAAACACTTACAACTCGAGCTTGTGTCGTACTCTGCTATCTACTGCAACTATAACCCACGCTACTTATTCCGCTAAAGACTCACGGCTACTTTGGCGTCTGAACGCTGCGATTGGCTGAAATTTGGATTAGCCGCACATACGAACCAATGAGGAACATTCATTTTGAATGACGTTTTGCATAATAAAGAAGGCGGCTTGACAAATAAACAACTCGGCAAACGATCACATGATGCACATTGTGAGATGTGTACCGCTAGATAGCTATTACCGTACAACAAACTACCACAAGTTGATTTTGTCAACGGTATTCATATGTAGCATTACTGTTTCGAGGCAGCTGGGAACATATCTAATGTCTTGCTCAGCAATATGCTCGTATAATTAAAACTAGAGAACTATAAAACTAACATACGCTTCAGTACGCATATACCTCGAAACAAATTTACTCTGTATTAGGTCCCAAAATTAAATTTGAGAAAATTTGTAAATACTACGAAAATATTCAAATATAAAACATCCAAAACATGTCTAAAATGTCAATGGTTGTGTTTCTGTTAGGCTTACTTACCCATTCATCTTGCAGAACATTGACATCGTTATAACGCTCATTGTTGAAATAAAATGAACTGGATCAATTTCAATTACTTATTAAACAGTTTGCTTATGGAACAGTTGTCATTGATTTGTGATTGGCATATCCACTAAATTGAGAAAAGGAATGGATTTGACATTGTAAACCATCAGCATTTACAGTGTAGTGCACCTCGTTATTTGCAAATGATGCTATTCCTTTCTTTTCTTCTTCGAAGATCTCACATACAAAACATATCTGTTTTGATCGCTATTTGGTATGCACCGTTTAACGAAGGCACCAACAGACGGTTTATCAAAACTGTCAAAAGTTAGTTTTACGACAAGTAGTAGCGAATGTCTTTCGTCGGGCATGATTGACAGAGAGAAGCGGACATGGCCAACATTTGTATCCAAATATATTCAGATTTAAACCATGACAGATGAAATCAACTATTAGCTTTAAGCAAATTGGTATTTTTCTTTCGTTTCCATTTGTTTTAAAATGAATCGTGACTCTATTATCCACGTATACCGTAATTCATTTTCTCTATCGACAGTGTTTACGATTTATGAATAGGCGTGGCCATGTCCATATATGTCAACTACGTCATGCAACCTCTGACCTCGCTGATCAACACGAAAACACGCCGCCATTTCACTCGCTTCGTTGTTCTGTAGGAAGATCCTGTCGGTGACTTGCAGTCTAGCTGGCATTACATCAGACACCGGGAGATTAGAGCTTGATTTGCGGCTCCTAGACAGTGCAGCAGTGGAGTGTCTGACACTATGAGGTAAGCACATGCGCTCTAGACATCTGCTGACGCGAATATATTTCCTCGAAATTTCTGTCTCCGTGTTGGCTTGGGAGTCTGTGTCAATCGGCGAGACGATGAATTTCGGATGGTCTGTATTTCTAGGGAAATGTGTCCTTCGTAAATGCCACCTGTGTTTTACGCGTAGCTTTATCGATACTTTTAGTTTCACAATACCTGAATTCAGGAATTTAATAGTATATAAAAGACATATTCTCCTTAGTGAACAGTCGAAGGGAAAGAGAAACCTAACTTTTCGCTGAACATTGTCAAAACGAAAAGACCTTTCGCAGGATTGCGAATCAAGTGATTCCAGCTGATTACTGGTGATCATGTGTAACCTTGCATCGACACACAGGACAGAGACACTTAAAGTTGAAGACGAACTATTGACTAACATTCGTGAATAGATCTAAAGTAGATGCTATTTTCGTTTAAATTTCTAATGATAAACCTTCTTGTATTGTATGACAGACAAGATAATTGGTGATCCTAAAAATAAAACTGAAATCAGCAATGAGATTGACTTTTTCCAAGTTAATTCTGAACAGAAGTCAGGCAGATAATGTATTGATACAAATAAATTCTGGTCACAGCTGCAGTAGGGTTTTATCTCAATGTAGAATTTAACCCTAGAAAATGTTTTATAACAGAGGTTACAAGAAATCAGGCAAAACAGACCCAAAAGTGGCTGTCGAAATATGACACCAGACCGAGAAATAGTATATTGTGTATGTTGAACAAATGTTGCCATGTGTTGAAATGTAGTGATGTCATCATGTTTCACAATATCAGTGTTTTGATAAATTGTTAACATAATTTTTGGTTTTGACATTTTTATGGTGTAAAAGTACTCACAGGCAGTTAAGAAGAAGTGAAAGAGACATAGTTTATTTTGTTTATTTTCTTAACTAGTTATTTTGAATATGCTGTCACCGTTACCATGTTTATGAATCAGGTGCTGTCGTGCTCAGTTTGATGTTTTGTATTTATGTTTTTTATGGAAATTGGAATTGTCAAAAAATTTACAATCGAGAAACAAAAAGCTGAAAATGTCAATGTATTCAAAAAATTGTTGGATAACATCTTCATATTGTCCATATTGTTTAGAAATATTGTCCATATTGTTCAGACACTTGACAACATTAAATTCCCACAAGTACCGCATGAACCCATCTTAAAAGCTTTTAAATTCTAACGATGCCTTTATTGTACTATTGATGATTATACTCATGATGTTTCAACTTCAAGGTTTAGTTTAAGCATCGACAGGCAGTAACAGATTATACTTTATATTTCATAAACTGCAGTACCAAATGTTGCAAACGCGTAACCATAACTGCTTTATACTAAGGCAATACTGAAGCCAGTATATACTCAACTAAATTAAAGTTGGACACTTGAATCCAACAATGAAAGTAGTATTTTCATTATAATGAAAATAGATGTTATCATGTACTGTCATCAAGGTAACAATGTAACTGAGGAAAAGTAGATTGCGGAATATTTTAGTGGATAAATGGACATGAAAAGTGTTCAAACATTTCAACAGGAAAATTGTTACCATTGGCCACCAAGTTACTGCCAAGGCCTTGCAAGCTCTGGTTGCACTGCGTTTTCCCTAGTTCCTCCCAAATATGACTGGGTTCAAGTATGGAAGGGATGGTGGGGTAGCCTAGTGGTTAAAGAATTCACATAAATCCAATGGATTAAGAGTTATTCCAAAGATTCAAGCAAAAAATTGAATGAATAGTGAGTGCCCGAGTAATATGGACCATGACTCCATGGGAAGTACACTGTCTTTAACCCCGGAATTCATACAAAGATTACTCCTAAATATCATTACATAAACAACAAACACACTCATACTTTTCAAACATTTTTATTCTTGATGTACTCATTAAACATGACCAATGTAAACTTGACAGATAGCAATATCACAGTCAAAACATATGAATATTTAAATCAATTGTTTTGACTGACATAAGTAGAAATTTCATTGTCCACACAAAAATCAAATGCATCACACAAAATTGTCTGTCTCAGCTTGAATACAATAAAGGAATAACAATGTTCACAATATTGTCTGTTACTTTCTTCACTGGACTTGACACTTCCTCACATGATTATACAGCCCAATACCTGCAATGTCACCCCAAAAAGAAATATAAAATATATTTTAGTGTTTTTGCATGATTATATTTTGTTACTGTTTTGTTTTACTTTCCAGATGTTCAGTTGCAATAAGTATTACTTGTATTCATGGAATTTCAGTTTACCTGTGTTTCACCAGCTGAAAAATCAGCTGAATGTTATGAACTTTTCAGAACTTACACTGACAAATGTACTTTCAAAATCAACCAATAAATAAATAATTTCTGTGCACAGGAATGTACTAAATGCAGATAAAACCATCAGCCCCTACATTAGGGGGTCCCTTCAAATATTGATTTTTTTAAAGATATTTATGTTACACGTACAGTAACATCTAAAAATTGAAATATACTTACTGTGGGTATGTTGATAAAGTTCAGTGTGAATGTCAGTGTGTGTAAAAGTGATGTCCATTGTTTTAGGTTTATTTTACAGGCAATCTAAAAATCACACCAAATTACCCGAAATTGAAATAACATTGATCATTGATGCTTGGGAATAGACAATAAAACACAACCGTTACTTAGAATAAACATAATGGTATGTCAGCCTGTAGATCGTTAGTGTTGTTACACTTGATTGACATACCCCGCTTAACCCTACTAAAAAGCAGACGTTATCAAAACAATCTAACCATGTCAGTGCACAAGTCAAATTTGCAATTAAAGATCACAAGACGAGATTATCTACCTTTTCAGTCCTAATTTGTTTATGCTAGGCACTGTATCATATGCAGGGATTAAGATTACCGTGCATATTTGTCTCATACACAAAGCCGGAAATAGCAATCAGCTGTGCACACCTCCCCGGCGATCTACCGGTGATTCAGTTAAAACATACCCAATAATACAACAGGACAAATTCTGATGCAGTGATCTGAGGAATATAGTATCTAAAACCATTATTTTACCCACAGAAATAATTGTGCCATTTTATTACAGGTTCTTTTGCATAATTGTAAAATATTTATAATCATAACTAAGGCTATGCGGCAGCAGTTTGGTGTTATGCCGGATAGTTTTAAGCATGGAACATGTCCTGACCTGTCACCGATGACGTTTAAGCTATTTCAACCCGAAAAGTTTGTTGACATGTTAGCGTCCAGCTACAATAAATATGACTTTTAGCTGAAGCAATATATATATGAATCCATTTTCTGTCAACTACACTATCTGTATATCATGCTGTTTACAGACCGAACGAAATCAGCTCAATCTGAACTGTCGATCGAGCCGAGGGTAAATACTGCATAGGAACTGTTTCTCGAATGAAATATGCGTAAGTGTGTAAATTATTTTCATAAAGATTAATTTCAGCAGATGGAGATTTTAGCTTTCATAAGTCACTATTCTGATAATTCACTATGCATTAACTGTTTGACATTGTGACTGTGAGACAGTAGCGAAACCTTTAGTGATCTTCAGGACTGCTGAGCCGCTGCTGTTAGTGATAGCAGGTCGGGCTCAGGGCGGTGAAAATGGCTTGCGTTTTGAAGCGGCACTACTTTCATATTAGCGTGATCTCAACGCCGCTTTTACCCAATTTTAATATTGTTGATATATACATCAAAATAAAGGGGAAATGTTGCTCTTTATGCTAC